CTAGCATTCAGGCCAGATCAAACTTAGTTTGGAATTCAAGTTTTGAGTTAGGAGGATTTAAAGGGCAGGGGAGGACAGCTTCCCTTCATGTTATTTAAGCCTAATGATTTAAATAAGGAAAGGCAGAATTATAGGAATAGAGGCCCTGAAAATTCATTAATCTACCCCAAGAGTTGAACTCGCACCCCTTAGAAGGGGAGGTACTAGCAGTCAGTTACAAAGTATCCACAAAGCTATCCATTTATCTGTATACAGATCTGTGACTTAGTTCCTCCCCAGGTCATTGCAAGGGCAAGCAAGCCCTGTACTCATTGAGAAAACTATCTGTTAAAAAAAAAGCTGTAAATGCCCTAGACATTCCAGTTCACTTCCAGCAGTTCTCCAGGCTGGGCAATCCTATTCTGTGCAAATAAAATCCAAACTGCCACTTAGACATGTGAAGGTGAAATAGGATTTAGCCCAGGGGTGTCCAACCTTTTTGAACGTGGGGCTGGATCACAAACTTTTTTATCACACAGTAGGCCAATAAGCCATATTCAAAGACCTCACAGGAAGTGGTATCACATCAGGAAGTGATGTCACATGACCTTTGACACCAATGAAGTTGCAGGAAGTGACAATGAAATGGGTCTGGAAATGTGGTTTAAAATCCAAAATAAAAGCAATATAAAAAGCAACAAAGAAATAATACCAAACACTTGTGTGCTCATGCAGCAGACACAAGTTTCCCTACTAGCACAGAGGGACAGCAAAGTTAGGGCACACAAGCTTCTTTCTGAAAAGCACACAGGGAACCATGTGGCGTTATGTTGGATCACCTTGGACTGCCCGGAATCAATTACTCAGTTCCCAAATACAGCTGGGGGCAAAAAGGAGGCAGCTTCTAGCACAAGTAGGAAGTCCTGCTTTCACTTGCCTCTCTCAAATGCAGCAAGACACTATAACTGCTCTGCCCCCATTTTCCCTTTTGCAACCAAAAACAGCAAAGAGTCTCCCCTGTGAAAGGCAGGGACCCCCCCGCCCCACACACACATACAGGTCACACACACAGGTGCCAGGAGCCCACAGTCACTGGCCCAGCCCCAGGGGAGGCACCGTCTTCCCGCCCCAACCCTGGTCCAGCCCAGCCTGGCCCTACCTGCAGCGCCCCGGCCGGGCAGCAGACAACAGACGATGAGGGCAAGCCCAGCCGCCGCGCCGCCTCCACGGGTCCACATCACCGTGCCGGGCTGGAGGGAGCCGGGGCCAGGGCTGGGTGGCACTTCGGGGCATAGCGAGTGCAGGCTCCGCCCGAGCCTGGGAACACCCTGCACAGTGCGGACAATGCCAACAGCCTGACAGAAGGAGGCACCTGCCTGTGCTGCTTCACCTCCGCCAGTGACCCAGGGCCAGGCAGCCAAGCCGGGCTGCCTCTTGTCTGTGGGCGGGGAGCAGCAAGTTGCTAGGGCCGGGAAGCGATGGCTTCCCCACATGGCACTGGGGACAGGAGGCAGCAGCGGGCCGGATCTGCACTCCTCTTCCCACACGCACCGCGTCAGCAACGTCAAGCTGACGCGGTGTGTGGGGGAACCTTGTCCCTGCCCTAGCCCTTCAGCAGCCATTAGGAAGCTGCTGAGGGGCTGGGGGAGGGACAAGGGGCAGGAATGAAAGTAAACCATGTTTACCTTCATTTCCCATCGCAGCACCACGGTCCACAGAAAATGCGGGCCGTGTGTTGGACAAGCCTGATTTAGCCCTTACTGTGCATCAGGAGTTCTGTAGTAAGTTTCTGGCAGTGGGTGGCAGCGCTCTGTCCCCATGTACCCCCTAGGGCCTTCCTGCATATTCCTGGTTGACAACCCCTGCCCTAGGGTAGACAACTGCTGCAAACAGTTAACTCCCTTGGCTCAAGTACTACAAGAATTGGTGCCGATGGCTCACCCATACCACGCAGAATCATCACATTTCTGTAGCCAAAGGAAAACACTTTGAGAGGGTATTTGTGATCATACTGCAAGAAGCTGTAATTTCAAGACTACATTCAAGACAACTTTCACATTAATCAATTCAAAGTTCTGGAAGGTCTGGGACATTAGAAGTCCAACATGGGACTTTTAAGGGTTATTTTGTGAGTAATTTTGAGTTTGGTTAGGTACTACAAGCATCATTTTGTACTACCTTAGTATATGGGTCTGGGAATCAATTCCTGTAAGTCTGATTATGTTGATCTTGTAGGAAGAGATTTAAGTCTTCTCATTAAAAAGGTGCATCAAAAACATGATGCAAATGTTCTTTCCCAGAGCAAGGAGGCATCTTGATAGAAAAGTACAGGGAGGGATTTTCTTCAGCTAAATGTTTTTTTACTTCTGAAAAACAATTGAAGTTCTAGTCCAAGAATCACACTACTTTCTACATATTCACAAGAACATTCCAGCCCTAAAATGACCCTTTGCAAGTCAAAGTATAAGTATCTACTGAAGCAGCATTTCAGCAGAAGACAAAACATAAAGCACTGATTTTAAGTGGTCAGTGTTTTAAATGTTTTCAGTCATAGTAAATGTTTATTCACAATTTTCAAAACCATTTGCAGTTTTCACAATTAACCCTAGAAACAAGAGACTCCTCTTTTTGGCATTATAGGAAGTAATACTCTTAAGACATAATAGCTTGGTGACTAGAAATTTGGCAACAAGCCACATACCACAGCACCAAAAGACGAAGACATTTACTTCCTAAGCTAAAGAAACACCTGTTACTATCAAGAATCTCTTTCAAGCTTTTTTTCCTCCAACCCGCAACTAAAATCTTGTACATCATGCTTGATTCTTCTCTACTAATGAGAATGATAAGAAACTTAATATTAAAGGAAGCAGGATTGGCTAGAAAACAATCCCCATAAAAATGGATTTAATTACAACTTATTCAAAATCTGCATACTGTATTTTGAAATTGGAGAGACTTAACCCACTGAAATAGAAAAGCATAATAAGCACCCAATTATAAGCTAAGGGACAACAAACAAAACAGTCAGAAATCCATTTTAAGTGACCTGTAATTGCATCTGAAGGCAAAGGTTGAAGACAAGTTAGGACATAAAGCCCGCATGACAGTTTCCAGAACTGACATGACAACTTATAATGGGGTTAAAATAAAGATTTATTATGAAAGATGACTGCAATCTTAATTCTCACCTTGTAATACTGGAATCAAATGTAACTTAAATGTACAGCAGCATAATGTGAAAAGATTTTTTTTATTTGTTAGAAGTTAACAGCAACAGGCACATATTAAAATGAGTATGGCAAAGCCTTTACAAATGGCTTTACACTGAAGCTCTCCCAAAAATGGCTGTTGCAACAAACTGTAAACAGAATTAATAAACAGTCTTTTACAGTAATAACAAGGGAAATACAAATGAACTAAAAGAAAGCACCAGTTTCTCTCAAACTAGATAACAGTTGTGCTTACTTTACTTAAAACAATGTAAAACAAATTACAAAAATGGAATGTTTGAAGTTTAAAATTAGTCCTTAAATTTTGTCCTAAAAAACGTTTCTCCTTTTCACATCAAAAACCCATAAATGGTTAATGTTTCAGTAGAGGGAGGAATAAGTAAACAATGCACTTTTTTTTTTGTCTTTTTTTTTTTCAATCAAAAACGAATTTGGTCACTTAGCTTTGTGCATAGTTTAAGGCATCTGTAGCAATTTGTTACAGGTTCCTCCCAATGTGGCTGTTCATGAAATTGTCACATTCTAAAAGAATAAATAAAAATGTTGCCGTTCAAACCCTTCCCCATCCCTTCCCTCCCCTCCCTTCCCCCACGCACACTCACACACCCACACATACACACATACTGCAGCGAAAAGGGGCATTTGTACCCTTGTTCTGAAGGACACACTTCCCATCCCATTTTATTTCAGATTGGCAAATACCCTGAGCTGATTATGGTGTTTAGACATTCCACCTTTTTCTTGCATGTGCAGTTCAAGTGTACAATAGTGAAAACAACATGCAATGTTTTCACTGCAGAATCGCAACACAGTTAGGACTGTCCTCCCCCCGCCCCCCTCCCCAAATTCAGAAGTGTTTTCTGCTTTTAAAAAACTGCATTCCCATACAGCACTGGAGTAAAGCTTGGCTGTGCTCTATGATGAATGCTCCATTCCCAGTGCACAAACACAATTATGGCAAATGGGAGGCTTTTCTGGCATCCAAAGAAAGAGCTGCAGTCCCAAATTCGATCTCTTTTAAAAAACGAAAACCCAAGGTTAGTGGTTCCTTCACAGCCAGGCGCAGAGGGAAGTCTAGAACCAAGAGTTTCAGAGTAGGTTTGTAAACATCAAGTCTTGCCACTGGCAGCAGAGGATGGGCACTTCACATTTCCAGATTTGAAACAGGGACTAAATGGAAGGGTATATGCTTTGCACATGTTTATGGGAAGTCTTGCAAAACTTCAAGATAAATGGAAATACCCATGTCAAGTCTCGGTTCTGAAGACCTTATTTCAAACTCTAAAACCACATGTGGCATGTAATAAAACTTTTTGTATCGTTCCATCAGGGATCAGTCATTGCTGTGCTTTGCATATTCAAGGTTCCAATGAAAGCCAACTGAGGCATATGTATGCATATTGCTCTATGTTCAGATCTTGCAATTAAAAATTGGGTTCAAATGGTCTGTTAAAGGAAAACTTGGAAATAAATAATGCTGGCATTGTTTATACTGAAACCCTGGGCAGTCGTATGTTTTTCCTCTAACCCCAACTGTGCAGATACCAAGAGGCAGTTTTGTCATGCAGATTCTGAGGTCAGGACAATCGATTTTCCTGAGGTAATATGTCTGAGTCCATTTCCTCAAAAGCAGGATCTGTATCATCACCACTGCTGGACTGTTCTCTCTGCATTCCCTTCCAACTAGCTTTATTCAGTCCTAGATGTCCAAGCATTGTCTGTGACAACCTGGTATTTGAAAACCGGGCCCACTCTGCAAACAATGGCTCCACTAAGTAAGTCATAAAACCTTTAAAGAAAAAAAACAACCTAAAATTAAAAGCAGGAAAGAAAATGCATTTTCAAAGGGCTATAGGAAGTGATGTAGGAGGTCAACAGTAATATACTGGGGAACTCTTTTTTAATTCAGATATACTTATAAAAAACCATCATCTTCCAACAGTTCTAAGAACTAGGACTCTTATTAAAATATAAAAATAAAATCCATAGAAATAACAGAACTGTCAGTCAAAAGAACGGCACTATACTACATAAGGAATTAACAGATGAATCCTGTTCTTGCAAAGCAGTGGTCAAATAAAGGACAGAAGAGAAAAAGGAGAATACTAACAATCAGATTTGAATTAAGTATACAAACTGGATTAGAAAGATGATAATTCCAACAGGGAAAAAGGTTAAATAACCAATTACCAGACAGATTATCTTAACTATACTATACTATACTATACTATACTATACTATAAAACAAACTAGATTGTCCTTCAACATTCCTGAAGGAAGACTGCCAAAATATGACCAAACAAACCTGTATATCCTTCAAAGTAAAGATGCCTAATAGTTGCACTAGCAGCTACCAGGCTAAAAAGCACCACAGTGGCTGCGTCTATACAAGACGCTACTGCGCAGTCATTACCATGCATTTATTTAATACTTGTATAAACAAGTACTAAATAATGTGCAGTAACTTAAGTTACTGCACAGTAGCACCAGCAAATGCCTTTTTAGTGGCACTACTATGCAGAAGCATTGCACCATGGTTTTTGCCAATTTTTTTACCCCATTTGTTAAAAATAATATGGTTAGCTTTTAAGCAACTGTATTATGCACAGTTGAGTTAAGACAACAATGTATAAGATAGTCCTAAAATTCTTCAAATTTCCCATTTCTCTATAGAATAAAATTGCAAATTATGTCCAGCATTTAAATGTATTACTTTGCCCAATAAAAACATGTTATAAGGTTTTAGTCTATCTGTATACAAGAAAAGCTTTGGGAAAATATTTTCACCTCTGTTGCTGGTTTAAATCTAGCTCAGGTTATCAGTGATCAAAGGTAACTTAATGGCTGCTCATCATCATGCAGTAAATTTGTGGTGCCCCTGCCCCAGTCCTCTTCATGCAGTAAATTTGTGGTGCCCCTGCCCCACTTTTTTTAAGGCTATCGGGCTATCTTTAATTGTTCCCAACAAAAAGGTTGTCTATGTTCAAAAAGGCTAAATCAACTGGCACTCTCACTGGCAGCCTTTCTAAAGATGCCAGGACTGAATGGGTATGGAGAATGAATTGGCTTCTTGAATCTGGAGGTGGTCATTCCAAAGTAGGGGGCTGAGCACATTGGAGATGTTGCAAGGGAAAGTTCACAGTGTTGCTTCCCATGTCCATCCTGTTTCATGAGGAGACAGAACATTCCAGTCTCTGCAACTATCAACTTAGCACCTAAATTCAAAAGAGAAATTTTAAAGAAAGAAATAAAAACTGTATCTGGTGAGAAGTGCTGCCAAAGGAATTTAAAGAGGATACAAATAGCAGGATATGCAAGTAAAGATACTTTCCCTTCCATTAATAACCGCGTTCTTAAAAGGGAACTACTGAAATAGTTTGAACTATTGACATATATTTTAATTAGTGATTACCAATCTGGATGTTAGCAACAGTTTCTGACTGTCGATCGCACAGCGGACTCACACCCAAGTGATACTTTTTTTCAATATCTCCTAAAGAAAAGAAAAAATAGAAATGGACACATTCTAAAATCAATGTGTTGCATACACAAGTGAATAGTCAAAAACCTGAAGTGTCAAACACTAATAGAAATGGATTTCCTAATGACAGAATAGGTCTGTATCTTCAGAGATACTTTGGACAGGATGTTGTCTATTCACGGTAACATCTTGTACTGGTTTTACTTACCTGTATAAAAAAAAAGAAGAAAATGTGTTTTACCTTGTACTCAGAAAAATATATCCACTGACTTATCACTGGGTTATATCCATTCCAACACAAACAGTAATAGATTAAAGAAAAACTCCAAGTAGTGGAGTATGTCAATAGGGAAATTGCCTATTTTAGAATCTGCCAAAAGAAAAATGACAATCTTCTTTTTCCTTACTACTATAATGGAAGTGAAAGATTCCCTTTGGACAGTGACAGCAAAAGGGGTAATTCTGTCTTAATAGCTGCAAATGAAGTTTTCAGATGAAAGTATTCAATTTTGTTCAGTCTTGTTTTGTCTTTTAGATCATAGAGTCTTCAGGGGAAACTGGTTTTTTTGTCTTGTAAATGCTGTGTGCCCAGTCAAAACACAAAATATTAATGATTGCCGTCTTCACCAACTGTTCCCTTATCTCTGCAAAACAATTACTGTTCCTCAATATAAAGCCAGATAAACCTACTGCCAAGCTTACGTGGGAGAATGCATACATGTACTCTTTTCTCTCACTTTAAAAGAATCATAGCGTGCTGTTCAGTCCATTTGTCCATTAAAATCTTTCAATCACTTGATGCCAAGGTTCAGATGATTTATTAACTTGCCTATACTATGCAAAAGCTTCCTTTACTAGGCAAAATTCTGCCCCTCAAGTGTCTATTCACCAGTCAATTCATCCAACACATTCTGAATCCTCATAAAAGAGAGGCATACCAGCCCTAGAGATCACTTTGAAAAGAAAGTAAATACAGCTGTTAAATAAACCTAAAGTTTTTCACCAGTACAATTCACATGCCCAAACATACAAAACCCTATCCTGGTAATATGGATGGAAGAACTCAACTTTCTCCAAAAAAAAGTGCAATCCAAAATCCTGTACAGCATCAACCTGTTGTAATCTAGCCACCTAGAGCCTTAACAAGAACTCAGGATGCACAAGCTTCATCTCAGATCAATCTGCCTGGCCACACCATGTCAACAAGAGTATTCTGGTTTGTTCCTAGATGGTATATTTCTCCCAGATTCAAAGCTCATTGCCCTTCACACAGGGCTTGGGAAAAAAGGATCTGATACTAGACTTTAAAGAACTTATAGAAACAGAAGTACAAGGCTACCTGGCCTCCATTACAGTAGTGAGAAACAGACTGTTGGACTAGAAGTGCAGGCACACTACACTTTTACACTGAAATTAAGTAGTAGGGCTATGCAAAGCTTCGGTCCCCAATTCGATTCAGTGGAGATTCAGCCTGATTCAGTGGCCAAAGCTCCGAATCCAAATCAAATCAGAGGACCTTTTAATCTCTCCGAATCAAATTGGAACACTCCAAATCAATTTGAAAAGATTCAGAAAGATCTGGAGATTCGGACATAGAGACATCTTTAAATGATTCTTCTACATACCTCGAGGTAGCAGGGACTCATGAGTGCTGCAATGCTGGGGTGCATGGAGTGTCCCACAGAAATATGGGGGGCTCCCAGCACGCTCAAGAGCAGACCCGGAAGTGGACCAGAAACAGTTCCGGTCCACTTCCAGGCCTGCCAGGAGCACACTGGCCCCTCCCCCCAACCCCACGTTCTCCCAGCTCAGGTGACTGGTGCACCTAGGGTCCCCCTGTGGCCAACTGCCAAGCCAGGGAGGCACGCTCCTAGGCAGACCCGGAAGTGGACTGGAAGTACTTGCAGTCCAATTCCAGGTTTGGCGGTCAAGAAGTGGAGCATCCCCCCCCCGCACTCCTGTGGTCCACTCCATGTGCCCCAGCATCACAGCATTCATGAGTCACACCTGCTACCTCAAGGTACGTAGAAAAAACTTTTAAAGCTGTGTTTATGTCCAAATCGCTGATTCTCTGAATCTTCAAATCTTCAGATTCTGACAAATCGAATCAGGGACAGTGATCCGAATCAACTAATCGAATCACTGTCCCCGATTCAGGCCAAATCTGAATCGCATAGGGCCTGCTTCACACACCCCTAGTAAGTAGTACATCTGCTCTGAACACCAGTACAGGTTTCCCTTGATTTATGCTGTTTCTTCATATGCAAATTCATTCTTATGTGATGAGCATATTTAGACCCATAATTCGTTATACGTGAGGTAAATTCGTTCGTATGTGATCAGCGTAGATGTGTCCCGTCCTGTCTCTACACCAGTGTGTCTGCAGTTGGGGGTAGCCTGCCACCTAGTGGTGAGGCTCTGTAAGAGCACCTATAGTGGGCAGTTGCCTCCAGAGTTTTACAGTACAGGTTTCCCTTGATATTTGCTGACATGCATTGTGGAGAATGGTGCATAAAGTGAATTCACATAAAGCAACCCTGATTTTTGTCTTCAGCTGCTGGGCTACACCGTGCTCCCCCTGTCCCTACTCGCCTCTGCTCCTGGGCTGCGCCATGACCTGGTGCAGGCAGCTGGTATTGACTGCTCCCGGGGCCACTCCAGCATGGGCTGGGGTAAGTGTAGACAAGTGGAGCCCCAGGCAGCACGGAGCACAGCATTCACCCTAACCCCAGCTGCAGTGGCCCCGGGAGCAGTCAACACCAGCTGCCTGCACCAGGTCATGGCGCAGCCCAGGAGCAGAGGCGAGTAGGGACAGGGGGAGCACGGTGTAGCCCAGCAGCTGAAGACAAAAATCAGGGTTGCTTTATGTGAATTCACTTTATGCACCATTCTCCACAATGCATGTCAGCAAATATCAAGGGAAACCTGTACTGTAAAACTCTGGAGGCAACTGCCCACTATAGGTGCTCTTACAGAGCCTCACCACTAGGTGGCAGGCTACCCCCAACTGCAGACACACTGGTGTATACTCTCAGCAACTTTGAAGGCTCTCTTTAGCCCACAGGGAACCACTTATACCACTCCAAAAATGTGGAATCTTCTAGGGCTTTTCTTCCATTGGCTACTCACTTATTGTAATTTCCACAGTAGTTTTCACTGTTAACTGTGTAGATTCACAATTAACTCGTGGACATGGAATTGCTTTGGTTTTGGGAGCAGGTGAAAGCAAGTTTCGGAACAAATTAAGACAGATTTGTATCCTGGAATGCTGATACACCACTGAAAAAAAGTTAAAGCAGTAATTAATTCTATTAATGGTTTAGCTACTACCTAAAATGCCAAGGTTTGAGCACAGCTGAAATTCATGCAGTTTGAACCTACACAGGCAAAAAGTAACATACAAATAAACAAAACTATCCTGATTAAACTGTAACTGATAGTACAAAAACAGCTTTTCAGACAATGTGATGCAAGTTCATTTAGATGTGACCTTTCAGATGTGTTTTCCCCACCTCATTAAACCTAGGTTCTACCTGATGCTTTAATCTTTTGAGAGCTAATTCCTTGTATTACAACAGAATCTGAACCCTTAAAGCATTTTTTAATGAAAAAATAAGAAAAGCAGGAACATACATTCATCCTGGTATTGGTAAATGTAATTGAAGTAACAGGCATGTGAAAGGCTTGGAGAGGATGTGTTTCATAACTTGAGGATCGTTCACCAAGTACAAGTAAAATCAAGAAAATTTTTCATCTGAACTATCCTTAGGGGTGAAGAATATGTTCCAGCTAAAATATAAATCAAGAACTGCCATAGCTATCCTATTTACTCAAATCTAAGACAACCCCCCCCAAATTAAATTTTATATATGGAAGAATTATACATTTGTTATAATTTTCTAGGTATAGAATCTAATTAATCAGAGAGTTGTCCGATTGGCCAGGCCTGACAATAAAGGGGGAGAGAAGGATGGGGGATCAGAAACTGCAGCGGGCAAGTAGAAAGATGAACAGGGGCAAGAGGCTGCTGTGGGTCTGACTGGCCCCAATCCAGGCTCAGGACCAGAGCCAGAGCCGCAACAGCCAGCTGGCTCCCCCCACCTGCCCCCACTTTGTATGTTAATCTAACTCAATGGGCTTCCCCCCCCACCACCCACCCATGCTGACAGGGGGGAAAAAAAAATCTCACCTTAGATTTGAGTAAATACAGTAGTAAGTAATGCTCATGGCCTCTTTCAAGAATGTAACCAGTGGAAAGGGTGGGGGGGCGGAAACTTTCATCATAAACGTACACCCTTTATTCTTTCAAGATGCTATGGCTCCCGTGACTATTTATCTGATGATACAATTATACATCCCACTGTCACCAAATCAGTTTTCTACTTACCTTGATGGAAGAATTCTTCTGTTACTTTTTCACTCCACTGCTTACTTAGCTCCCAAGTCCGACATGGATTACAAATATCAGCACACTTCAAAGCCATCTAATAAATGACACAGCAGTATCACTTACATTATATTCACGTTCAGAAACATGAATCAAAACCTCTGAATAGCTGCCATCCTCAACATTTTGTGCTTTTTTTTAAAACTACTTAAAGTCTCCCACTTTTGCTTTGCTAATTACATGGCGGGGAGCTATATCTAGGGAATTATAGGACATCATGAATGGCTCTGAGTCATACTGAAGTAAAACCAATTAGTTCCATAATGGAAAAAGTAAGTGAATCTGAGCATCTGAAAGGCAGCATATTCAGTACATATAATATACACTAAGTATGGTACAATAAGAAATGTTAAAGAAACAGTTGGACTTCACTAGAAATCAGAAGGAAGCTTACTAGACATAAATTAAACTGCTCAAAAATAGTTTTTAAATATTTTAAATATTACCCTGCCAGCTTCCTAAATGTATAACTGCACAGGACACTTTAAAGAGTTAACTGATAGTTTACTCCCAAGTACTAGTCATTTTAGCAGCGCTGGAATAGTATAGTCATGACAAGAAGTAAACTGAACTAACTGTTGACAAAACTGAAGTTTGTTTTAGCTGAATTTTTGTTAAAGTTCCACCAGGTTTCTTGCTGTTCATTATTTTTTTCAATCAGAATGACTAATGTGTAATCATAGGACTTCTGCATGTCTTAGAGGCCCTTTTCTCCACCTCCATTTCCATTATGCTCAAAGACATTTTTTCATCCTGTTCTATTTATCGTGAGGTGAAAAACCAGGGATTCAAAAAAACCACCAACTTTGAAAAGATGATATGAGCATCCTAAACTATTTAAGTACTAATCTTTGAGAGGGGTAAACACTGAGCCATAGGTGGTAAAAGGGAATTGAAGGACGGTCAAGGTGACAATGCCATCTGCATGTCCTCAGCTGAAAACAGAAGTCAGCACACACACTGTGCTAACAGGAACTGCTAGTGAAAATTCCATTTTGCCATCTCTGCTATTCCTGGTCTGTAAACAGACAGCACAGCTTAAGATTTCCATGCTGTCAATTTGATATTTTCCAAAATCTAAAGAACATTAACACCCCTGGCTTCGCTTTGACAGCAGACAACCTTTATCCTGGAAGAAAAAGTATTTGAAATGATTTACTTCCAAAATAAAAATGGCACTTTCAAAGATATTGCAGAAAGTTACCTGCAAAATGAAGTGACGATGGCTCGCATCCTCTAAACATAAGTCCCCTCTGTTCAAATGGGTTCTGAACACAGACAGATATTCATTTTGCTGACTGATGTCTGTGGCAAGAATGAGAGCACCTATCTGGCTTTCCATCAGCTGCCTGAAATAATTGAACATAAAATATTTAAAAAGGCAAAAATGAAAAGTCAGCATTGAACTGATATTTAATAAACAAGGTGTATTATACAGATGTAAGTAACAATGACCCCGAGTTTAGCATTTTGAAAAGTTTTACATAAAAAAAAATTATTCTTGTATTCCAACTATTATTAAAACAGGTGAGAAGAGCCACAATTAAAAATACAGACTGGTACAATCTAGTTCACAACGTAGTTATCCTTTGAAAAGCAGTATATTCTTGTAATCTAATCAGATACTTGTGTTTCAATACACTTCCTATTATAAAATGCTCACAATAAAGTTTTCAAACATTGTACTTCAACACCAATGTCATTTAACAGATCTTGTTACAAATCTGACTATTCAATGGCGATTACAAATTAGCATACAATATCCTAACACCACACTTGCTCTCCAAAGCTGTTCATCTCATGCATAAACTGCATCTAACTTCAAGTAATGCATATGATCTGTACAACATACCTATTTTCTAGTGACATGTGTGCAAATAAACCAGACTCTCTCAACAATCCCACTGCTGATCTCCAGTGGTGGTTTTCCAATACTGAGGTATTCTACAAATAGAAGCAGGTATCAATCAGTTCTCTCTTCAAAAAATGAATTTAAAGTCTTGCACCACTATAGTACAACACCACCTTATGTTCAAGATTTCCAAGGTTTAATACTTCTACTTAGGCTCATGCTTTGCATTTATTGTTCCCATTCAATGAGATAAAACATGGCAGGTTCAAAATCTACTAAAGTTACAATTTTACCATTAATATTATTTTTGTACACTGCAAATGTATAATACTTGGTTCTCATAACCAACATACCTTCCACTCACCTTATACAGAGTTGCTAAGTAATGGTTTGTTTTAATAAGGAAAGGCTGATTAACACCTGGGTGATCCAAATCATGTGTGGCAGCTGCAATTAAACTGAGCAGAACATCCCATGGAGTTAGAGATTTGGAAAGCTGTAATAAATGAATCAGTATTATTCATATGAACATTTCCTACCGTTTCACTTTTCATAGCCAATATTCAGTCCATGAATGAGTAAAGTCACCAAAACAACATCAGACCAATCCTTTATATAGTGCTATGAAAGAAAATCATCACATAAAAGTGAACAGGGAAAGCAGAGAAGTATGCATGTTCTTTGTTTTTTAGTGTAACACCACTGCTGGAGCCAGATAGTTTGGAGCTGCACCTATGCCACATACCCCAGCTACCAACTCCTCAGCTGCAGCATGGCTGCACAACTTCCAGCCTGTGGGGAGCTGTGCTATAGCCAGGCATCCACCACTTCTCTCTACTCCTCCTCCCCACACCCCCTTCCAGCTGTGGCATGGGCACAGCTGGAAGCTGTCTGTCTCCAGTGCCATTCCCCAGTAGCTGGAAGCTGCACCCCCACTGCATGTGATAGGGAGGAGGGTAGAAGCATCAGTAGTGCAGATGCAGTTTGCAGGTGCCCAGCCCCAGTGCAGCTCCCCACAGGCTGGAACCTGCACCCATGCCCATGCCCTAGCCAGAGAACACTGGGCTGGGAGAAGTGACAGTGGTGCAGGTACAGCTTCCAGCTATCTGCCCCAAGGGTAGGCATGGGGAAAGCTCCCTGCTGCCAATGTACCACCAAAGCCACCCCAGCCTACATTAGACTGGAGCCAGGTTGTTCTGGTCAATGGCTTGTAAAAGGTTGCTAGCCCCAGTCATAAATGGTAATGCATCGCTTGAAAAAACAAATCAGTGGTGGTTCTTGGACCAAGGTATTTGTATGTTTTACTGGTAGACCAACAAACAATTCAGCCACTCAGATGACACAAGTTTGTGATACAATCAGTTAGCATGTTTGATGGCTACCTGAAAGGCTGCTGGTTTGAGCATGCCTGGTTAAAATAATTTAGGTAACAAGGACAATTCTTGGAGTTGTCTCAGGTTCCATCGTATGATACTTTATATAAAAATCTCTGTGCCTCGTTCTTCTATTTTACACAAGGATAAAATCACCAAACAGCAATTGTTTTCATACGTTGTACTGCAGTGCCTGGAAAATTCTAGGACTTCTGAGATGTAACTGCTAAGAGACTGGTCAAGAGTGTGCAGTACCAAATAAACTTTGCTCTGTTCACCAAGGGGAAGGGAACTGCATAACAGTTCAGGGGAATGAGCATGTGGCATGATGATGAAGAACATGTGGCAGAACAAAGTCGTGTGAAAGCAGGTACTAATAAAGCTTTGTTCTTGCTCTACGCTAATGATATTTGTCTAGAGTTTCATGATGTATTCACAGACACTAAGCTACTAGAAAAACTCTCCAGTCCAAGAAATGTACACATCTGTGTTGGATCAGAAGCTGGCAGCAGTAGCAAGCAAGCGCTGACTTAGGGTGGGCAATTATTTCAGGCGGAGGGCTGCTTACCAAGTTGTGGCAAGCTGTCAAGGGCCACATGGGTAGCCCCACCCCTTAACAGGTGCCTCACCCCTTGGTCACCATCTTGGAGACCAGCGTCCGAATGTCTAGGGACCAATGATCCAGGGCCAGCACCAAGGGGGCCCAGAGCAGGGCGCAGGCTGGCAGGGGTCTGTGGAGCCAGACTGGGCTGCACCAGCAGGGAGAGGGGGGATCTGGTCCGGCTCCATAGAGCCCCTGCTGGCCGGGACCCTGTACCCCTGCTGCCCTGCTCTAGGCCCTGCTAGCGCTGGCCCTGGGACACAGGTGCGGGCCCTGCTCCCGCACCCGCTCACTCCCAGTGCTCCCCAAATCCGCGGAACAGGTCAGGGGCAGTATGCAGCCCCAACCCCCTGCTCGCCGGCAGGGAAGGAGCTGGTGCTGAGCACAGGAGAAAAGCGGCCCCT